CACACACACACTCCGCCCCCTCCCCTCTTTCCAGAACGGCGGTACATGCACTCGCTGACGACGACGGCCGGGGTGGTGGATTTCTTTGAGGACTACGTCAGCAACTTCTAACATGGAGAGGCGTACGCGCGGCGCGTGAACACGCACACAGGCGTGCGACAAAGAAAGTGAAAAAGAACAAAACAATAGACAACCGCCACACTCACAGCTGATCCCACGCATGCGGGCGCGCATCGCTTCCACCGCGGCTCCAAGCACGGACATCGCCATGGGGAAGAAACGGGAGGCAGGTATACGGTGTATTGTTGAATGTCATGCGGAGGCCGGGTCGTCCCCCCCATGGCCATCTTCCTCCTCCTCCTCCTCCTGCTCCTCGTCCTCGGGGTCGCCCTCTTCTGAGGCAGACCCCGAATCGGAGTGCGAAGAGTCGGCCCCACTCTCGGAGGACCCGGCTGAGGAGGAATACCCATACTCTTCTTCGTCCTCTTCGCCGAGGGCTGCCTTGGCCTTGGCGATGGCTTGCAGGAAGGGCGCCGGCGACGGGAGAATCGACGCTCGCGGGCTGGAGAAGGCCCGCGAAGAGGCGAAGTATGGCCCGGACTGGAAGTCGTGCTTGGTCGTCGAGGCGAAATGGGCGGATGGGGGGGGCGCCGACCCGGACGCCGGGGTCGGAGTCTCCGGCTGGGACTGCGGATGAGCTGGCTGCATATTGGGGGGGGGGGGGGCGAGTACGCAGATGGATCGGCAGGCGGCTGTGGCGAGGGTGTGTGTATGCGCGACGATGGGGGGGCGGGGGGAGGGAAGCGGTAAGAGGGGGAGGATGTCCCAGGAGGTGGTGTATTATCTAGCATCCGGAGGGGGTGTAGGCTGATCGGGGGATCTCTTTTGCCCCGGAGGAGGACGAGCCGCGGGGCGCCGGGCCCGTTCCAGCAAGAGGCACCCGATGCACGGCGCATGCGCGGGGCCCCGCCCCGGTTGTCGGGTACTTGTTCGTGGGCAGCTGACCCGGCACGTTGGGAAGTCATCACATGCATGGCCATGTCACATGCGCGACGACGCCAGGGCAGGGTCCCGATCGGGGCTGGCTGACGGGCGTCGGGCCCCCGATCGGACACCCCCGCGAGAGCCGTAACCAACACAAGGCGGACACCGATCCGCGCGAGGGCGCGCGCTCGGCAACGGGAGGCCCCCGGCGCGAGCCCCACCCCCATTTTCCTTGTGTGATGGGCGGGGGGAGGGGGG